ACTTGTCTTTCCTAGTTGTAATACTTGTTTCTGACATATTGATATTTAGTCAAAATATTTTGATTTTTTTCGGGTTGTGTGGATATTTATTTGAACCTGATGAAATATTCCCTTAGTTCATGTGTTTGGATATTTTTGTGGAACCTTTGAATATTCTCAGCTTGGGAAAACAATAATAGTTTTATTTTTTTAGTGTTTACTGTTTAGTGATTAGGGTGATAGAGTTTAAAGTTTAGGGTTTAGGGTTAGGGTACAAATAGTAGATATTAGTTTGTGTGTTGTAGATACTTGTCTTTCCTAGTTGTAATACTTGTTTCTGACATACTGATATTTATTCAAAATATTTTGATTTTTTCCGGGTTGTGTGAATATTTATTTGCACCTGATGAAATATTCCCTTAGTTCATGTGTTTTGATATTTGTGTAGAACCTTTGAATATTCTCAGCTTGGGAAAACAATAATAGTTTTATTTTTTTAGTGTTTTATTGATTAGGGTGATAGAGTTTAAAGTTTAGGGTTTAGGTTTTAGGGTTAGGGTACAAATATTAGATATTAGTTTGTGTGTTGTGGATACTTGTGTTTCCTAGTTGTAATACTTGTTTCTAACATACTGATATTTATTCAATATATTTTGATTTTTTTCCGGGTTGTGTGGATATTTATTTGAAACCGATGAAATATTCCCTTAGTTAATGTGTTTGGATATTTTCCTGGAACCTTTGAATATTATCAGCTTGGGAAAACAATAATAGTTTTATTTTTTTATAGTTTAGTGATTAGGGTGATAGAGTTTAAAGTTTAGGGTTTAGGGTTAGGGTACAAATAGTAGATATTTGTTTGTGTGTTGTGGATATTTTTTGAAAAGATTTTAATACTTTTTACTAAGGAACTGATAGTTATTTTAAATAATTTGTCTGGGTTGTCTGGATATTTGTCTGGGTTGTCTGGATATTTAGTTCGTGCTTTCGAATATTTGTCTGAGAAGTTTGGATATTCTAATGGGCACTTTTGGTAACTATTTCGATGTGATCCTTTGTTTATTTAAGCATCTAGCACTTTTGGTCACTATTCGGATTAGTGTACAACTATCATATATTAGTAAGTATGTGGTGGATATTAGTCTGTCATAGTGATAATATCCATTTTGGGATCACATGATATTCTTCTGAGACAGAAGGATATTAGACTGGGTGGTGTGGATATTTGTCTGGGTAGTGTGGATATTCGTTTTAGTTTTAGTATTTAGGGTTCATTAGTTCATGTTTTCGGATATTTTTTTGGGACGTTTGGATATTCTAATGGGACACTTTTGGTAACTATTCCGATGTGATCCTTTGTTTATTTAAGCATATGAAATAATAATAGTTTTCGATATTTGTCTCCAGTGATAGGATATTATTATGGATAGGAGGATATTAGTTTGTGATGTGTGGATATTTGTCTGAGTAGTCGGATATTAGTTTGCAGGGGTAAGATATTAGTCAGTGTGTGGTGGATATTTGTCTATGATGGTGAGGATAATAATTATGGTGTGACTGGATAATAGTCTGAGACGAAGGGATACTAGTCTGGGTGGTGTAGATATCTGTGATGGTGAGCGGATATTAGTCTGGGACAGTCGGATATTAGTCTGAGTTGTTTGAATTTTTTTTCTATATGGATGTTTATCTACATTGGTTTTCAAGTACGAAGAAATAGTGTGTGTATATCTATATATATTAGTCTTGTTGTCGTTTGTAATGAATGGATATTAGTTTACATGGTTCAGATATTAGCTTTGGGTTGAATTGATATTAGTTCATGCTTTCAAATATTTATCTAGGACGTTTGGATATTCTAATGTCACTTTTGGTAACTATTTCGATGTGATCCTTTGTTTATTTAAGCATCTAGCACTTTTGATAACTATTCGGATTAGTCTACAACTATCAGATATTAGTCAGTATGTGGTGGATATTAGTCTGTCATAGTGATAATATCCATTTTGGGATCACTTGATATTCGTCTGAGAAAGAAGGATATTAGACTGTGTAGTGTGGATATTCGTCTGGGTAGTGTGGATACTCGTCAGTGTGTGATGGATGCTAGTCTGTTGGATTATGGTGCATATACTTTTTTGGAGCCATCCGATACTATTCTTAGGGTTTTGTGTTATGCTCACAAAAAAAGGGTTTGGTACTCGAGTAGATTCTGAGTAGTGATTAGGGTTTTAGTGTTAGAGTTTAAGGTTTCTTTTTTAGGGTTAAGGTTTAGTTTTTAGGTTTACGGGTTCGTCTTGTGGTCGGATATTAAACTGGGTGGTGTTTGTATTTGTTTTGCAATGAATGGATATTAGAAGGGTGTCTATGTGGACGTGTATGAGAGCATAATATCCAGACAACACAAATTAATATCCATACATTTCATAAATAATATCCAGACCTAACATAATAATATTCCAGAATAACAAACTCAAATCCATAATAAAAAAGAGTTGTTTTATCGACAAACCGCGATAAAACTAGTATTCAATGCCATTACAACTTGGCAATCCTAAAATCTCAAATCCGAAAAAGCACAACCACATAAGAAATGAGAAAGCAATAGTTTTGAGCCAGTGATGTGCCTCCACCTCCCCTTCTCATGGAGGAGCTGGAATCGAACAGCTTTTGGATCTTGTCATCTTGCAAAATTCCTGAAATACATGAAAAGAAATCATTAGGCATAAGCACAGTCCAGACTAATATCCATATAGGGCATACAAATATCCAGACCTAGCATGAAAATATCCATGCATCATGGGCATGCTAAATATCAACATTCAACAAACTGGTATCCCAAACATGTTAAATAATATCTCAGGTCAACAAACTACCATATATTAACGAGCAAAACTCAGAACCACCAAAACAATATCCACATTCAACAAAATGGTATCCCAGGCATGCTAGATAATATCCTCGATCGACAAATTACCTTATTAACGAGCAAAACTTAGAACCCCCCAAACAATATCCAAATTCAACAAACAGGTATCCCAAACATGCTAAATAATATCACAGGTCAACAAACTACTATATTAATGAGCAAAACTCAGAACCCCCCAAACAATATCCACATTCAACGAACTGGTATCCCAAGCATGCTAAATAATTTTCCAAGTCAACAAACAAACATATTAACGAGTAAAACTCAGAACCCCCCAAACAATATCCACATTCAACAAACTAATATCCCAAACATGTTAAATAATATCTCAGGTCAACAAACTACCATATTAACGAGCAAAACTCAGAACCCCTAAACAATATCCACATTCAACAAACTGATATCCAAATCATGCTAAATAATATCACATGTCAACAAACTACTATATTAACGAGCAAAACTCAGAACCCCTCAAACAATATCCACATTCAACGAACTGGTATCCCAAGCATGCTAAATAATATCTCATGTCAATAAATTACTACATTAATAAGCAAAACTCAGAACCCCCCAAATCGAATCCTAAGGCATAGAAAGCGAATCTCAAATCCCCTGACAAGAATTCCAGATCCCTAACAACGAATCTCAAATCCAAAAAATGAAGCAAAAACAAAAAAAGAACCCAAATCCAGTTGAATCGATGAAACCCTAAATCAAATAACAAGAATGCCGAATCTCCCAAATCGAATCTCAGATCCCAACCACAGAAAATCCCAGATTCCCCAAATCGAAAGAAACCCAAATCCCCCAAATCAAAAGAAACACAGATCCCCCAAATAGAATCCCAAGGCACAAAAAGAGAATCTCAAATCCCCCGACAAGAATCCCAGATCCCCAACAACGAATCTCAGATCCAAAAAATGAAGCAAAAAAAATTCAGATCTAGTAGAATCCGTGAAACCCTAAATCAAATATAAAGAATCCCGAATCTCTCAAATCAAATCCCAGATCCCCCAAATCGAATCCCAATGCACAGAAAGCGAATCTCATATCCCCCGACAAGAATCCCAGATCCCCAACAACGAATCTCATATCCAAAAAATGAAGCAAAAAAAATTCAGATCTAGTCGAATCCGTGAAACCCTAAATCAAATATAAAGAATCCCGAATCTCTCAAATCAAATCCCAGATCCCAGCCATAGAAAATCTCAGATCCCCCAAATCGAATCCAGTGCACAGAAAGCGAATCTCAAATCCCTCGACAAAAATCCCAGATCCCCAACAATGAATCTAAGATCCAATAAATGAAGCAAAAAAAAAAAAAAAACTCAGTTCCAACATTCGTATCCATGAATCAAGGAAGGAAAAAAAACAAACAAACTCAGATCTAACACTTTGAGCAGTTAGCAGAATAACTTCTGCAACAATAAAGAGAGAAGTAGAACTACCTCAGCGTCTTCTTCTACCTCCCACTATCGGCGGCGACGGCGGCGGCCTTCTTCGTCGGCGAAGTCGGCTCCCTCTTCTTCTTTCTTCTTCGTCGGCGGCGTCTTCTTCCTCGTCGGTCGGTCCAGCGTCAACGTCGTTGTCGGCGGGAGAACCAACAAGCGGTCGCCGACCTCGCAGCCGTCGTCGCCGTCGCTTTCCTCGTCGCCGTCGCATACCTCGTCGTCGCTGTCGGTGGTGGTTTTCTGCGGTTTTCGGGAGAAGAAGAAAAAGAGAGGGAGAGGGTTCGAAAGTTGGAGAGAGGGGAGAGAGAATGGCTGACGCGGGTTTGTTGGGTTTTAGGTTTGGAATTTGGGTTTTTGTTTTTTTTTTATTTATTTCTGCCCCACTTTTCCCAAAAGTGGCTCGGCTTGGCCCAAAAAATTTCCCCCCTCACAGAACAGCGCCGACGATCCCTCACCCTCCGATGATGGCTTGGCGATGTGGCCCTATATCCCACCCTGTTAGTATCTGCTAACCACTTAAAGGGTTAGCAGAATAACGCTATTGCATAAATCTAACCAATCGAGAAGAGAGCGACAATCATTTACATCTATTTCACTTCACCTACCATAAATATTAGCCGGCACAAACTCAACATCACCTGAATTCAAAGCTAGAAGCAGCAGAAATGGATCAACAAGCCTCAGCAATCCCACACGTACTCGTCTTCCCACTCCCAGTTCAGGGTCACATCACCTCCATGCTCAAACTCGCTGAGCTCCTCTGCCTCGCCGGCGGCGGCGGCATCCGGGTCACCTTCCTCAACTCCGACTACAACCACAAGCGCCTCCTCCAGTCCTCCGACGCCGAATCCCGGTCCCGAAACTACCCCGGGTTCCGGTTCGAAACCTTCGACGACGGTCTTCCTATGGACCAGCTCACCAAGGGCGAGAAGGTCTCCGAATTGCTCGGAGAAATGGACTCGAAAACCCGGCCAGTTTTCACAAATTTGCTGGTTCAGATCCAACCACCGGTCACCTGCGTCATCGGAGATGGCTCTTTGGGGTTCATCAGCGACGTTTCGTTGGAAATTGGGATTCCGATTATTCGATTCCGCACCATCAGCCCTTGTTTCTTCTGGATTAATTTCTGGCTGCCGGAAGTTATCCAGGCCGGCGAGCTCCCAATCAAAGGTTCGGCTAGAATTTTAGAGGGGAATCCATCCGGGTTCCGTTTTCCGATTTAAACCGAAACCAAATCGATCAGTTGCACTGTCGGGTTTACGTCTTCGTGTTTGTTTCGGGTTTCAGGTTCAGTTTTACTTATTGGGTTTTCGGGTTCGGCTGAAACACCTTATAGTGTAGCAGCTGGGTCATACCCTTATTAGGGGTTTCAATTTTTTGGGTTTTGGTTTTGCTTTAACCGAACTCAAAATAGATAATCAAGTTTTTTGTTTCGGTTTGAAACAAAAAAAAAACTTATCGATTCTGATTCGATTTTCAAGATAATTGTTTTGATTTTTTAGTGCATCGTGTTCGGTTCGGGTGACTGAAATCGACCCGAACAGACACGGCCCTAGCTGATCCGAATTTGTTATGTCGGAATTAAAATATATATTATTACTTATTAGTTAAATAACATGAATTGATTCTGAGGTATTTTATTATGTGTTGGTGATTGAAAAGGAGAGGAAGATATGGAGAGGCTGATTACAAAAGTGCCAGGAATGGAATCTTTCCTAAGGTGCAGGGATCTACCCGGGTACTGCCGGGCAGGTACCGACGACCCGACCATGATTCGGGTCGTAAAGGCGACGAGAGAATCTTCTTCACCGGCGTATCCTCTCATCCTCAACACGTTCGACGATTTGGACGGCCCAATTCAGGCCCGAATCCGCCAACGCCTCCCCAAAACCTACACAATTGGGCCGGCCCACGAACACCTGTAATCACGGCTCGGGACGGCCTCATCGTCCAGCAGTCTGTGGAAGGAAGAAGCGAGCTGTCTGACGTGGCTGGATGCTCAGCCACCTGGCTCCGTGCTATACGTCAATTTCGGGAGCATCACGATGATGAGAAGAGACCAAGTGATCGAGTTCTGGGAAGGCCTGACCGGTAGCAAGAACCGGTTTTTGTGGGTCATCAGGCCCGGTTCGGTTTGTTCAGGAGAGATGGCTGATGACGTCCAGATGCCTGAAGAGTTAGTTGAAGGAGTTGAGAAGGGGAATTTGAAGGTCCTGGTGGGTTGGGTGCCTCAGGAAGCGGTTCTGGGTCACGAGGCGGTTGGTGGGTTCTTGACCCACAGCGGGTGGAACTCGACCCTGGAGAGCATTGTGGCTGGCGTTCCGATGATCTGCTGGCCGTTTTTTGCGGACCAGCAAGTGAACAGTAGGTTTGTGAGTGAGGTTCTGAAGTTGGGTTTGGATATGAAGGATGTCTGTGACAGAAGGGTCGTGGCGAGGATGGTGGAGAGGAAGGAAGAGTTTCGGAGGAAGGCTGTGGAGATGGCGAGAATGGCGAAGGAGAGTGTCGAGGAAGGTGGATCGTCGTACAGGAATTTGGAACTTTTGATTGAAGATATCAAGCTGATGAGTAGTTCTCAAGTACAGGAGTTGGGGGAAATTGGGAATTAATGTAGAAGCAACATTATGTTTCGGTGTAAACGAGAAAAGCAGTTTAAAATTCAGCTACATTGCCTCTTGCAGTCTTGCAGTAATCTGTTCTGGTCACTAAAAGTATACAGCTATCTAAGTTGCTATGGTTGGTTTACCCATGATTTATCCCAAGTATTAAGCTTCAGTTCATAAGCCCGAGCTAAGTTACAGGGTGAGGAAACTCAAAAACATACAACAATTACTAACTAGTCTATGAGTGGAGATGGCATTATCCTAGCACGACAATATGCTGCTGATCAGGCTGTCCAGACATTGGTACGACGATCCGCCTTGCTTAAGAGAACCATCAATCTTCTCCTTCCAAGCGAGGCTTTTCCGTCTTATTTCAACCCCTTCATCCTCTACCATTAGCGTTCTGATTGCTTTCTCTATCGCAGCTCTATCCCTCTTATCCTCCAAGTGAATCCCAACTCTCCAAACATCACTTACATACCTTGCGTTCACCTTCTGGTCACCAAACGAGGGGTGGCAGATCATTGGAACCCCTTCACAAATGCTCTCAAACGTCGAATTCCATCCACAGTGCGTCCAAAACCCACCAACTGCGGGGTGAGCAAGCACAGCCTGCTGTGGCGCCCATTTCACAATTTCTCCCCTTCCACGTACCTTCTCGAGAAACTCATCGGGCAAGAGTTCCAACCATTCTGATCCCTGCACTGATCCAGGTCGAACCACCCACAGAAACGGCTGCTGGCTATTCGCCAGGCCATATGCAATCTCCAGGAACTCGGTTTGAGTAAGAACTGCCATGGTGCCGAAGCTCACATAGATTACCGAGTTTGGAGCTTGTGTGTCTAGCCAGGAAATGGAGTCCTGAGATTCTGCTGGTGAGCTGCTAGGTGGGAAGTAGTTGTGAAAGGGGCCTATGTTGAAGATAGGGACATTAAATACTTGGCGACACTTGATCAGGGCGTCTTGTTCCAAGTCTTCAGATGAGTTCCAGATGAGACCCGAGGAAGCATTGACCGTCCTAATCATGCCAGCAACCAGATAGAAGAAATCCTCAGGCTTTTTCATCTTGATCTCTGGTAAGTCCTTCACTTTCAACGGTGGGAGCTCCGGGACAAGCTCTTCTAACCGAGATTCTATAACAACAAGCCATCACAAAACCCATCAGCACCATATCCAAAAGTTAACATCCAAATAAAAATACTGAACCTGTTTAAAATCCTTCTACTGCACATACCTTTGACAGGCATGTAGCCTTTCTCCAGGAGTAGTGGGAACGAATTGTAAACAAGGAAGGAGCAAGCATTACTCGTGCGCAACACAAACCTAGGGAGCTTAGCAGCATCTGCAACCCCCTGAGTGAAATTCCAGCTAGCATCCGCGATTAACGCAGCAACAGGATCATCTGTATTCTCAGAAAGCAACATCGACAAGTGGTCTTGCAATGTCTCAGCCAACTTCTCGTTGAGGAGTGCAATGAGAGAGGTAGCATCCATGGAAGACGATTCCTTTTCGGATAACCCTTCAGGGATCAGATGGAAAGTGAAAAATGGGTACTTGGAAGGATCTGGTGAGTTGAAATTGTTGTGGAGTATGGTGATGGAGAAACCCTTGGAATAGAGGATGTGAGCTAGCTGAATCATGGGGTTGATATGGCCTTGTAGTGGAGTAGGGAAGAGCAGTAACCGGCGCATCTTCTTTTGCTGGATGTGTGATTCTCTAAGGGCATCCATGATTCTCTTCTGCTGCTTCTTGTTCCTTCCTTCGTCGTGTAACTAGCTCAACAAGCCTGCAACAGATTGGAAATTGGAACCGTTGTGTCAGCATAATCAAATTCATAGGATTAGATGCGCGAAACCCATTAATCCCACTAATGATTTGTTGAGGACACGGAATCTAAACATTAGAAAGTGCAAAATCAAATCCGCAAGAATGAATCTCTTCAGTATAGAAAGAGCCGAAGTGGATGCAGAGCCATAAAACCGAAAGATAGAAAAGGAAAGCGTCGGTGTAAACAAGTATATCCAAGCACTTAATACCGTTATAAGAAGCCCCCGCCTTTTGTGAAGATCGGCGGCAGGTGTTGTGGAAGCGGCAACCGCCGGCGATTGAAGTCTGGGAGGCACGGCGAACCGATGGAGTCCTCATAAAATTCCGGCCCCGAGTTCTGGTATTTTTCCTTTTGCTTTCCTTTTTGACTGCTTTGATAGGATAGCCGCGTGCAAAGATCTTCCTGATCTGTACTCTCTTTTTTGTGGTGAAGGTGAAAACTGAAAAGTCTCGCCGGCGTGATCCAAAACCCGACATTAGTACAGAGTAAGGTGAATAACTTCATCGTCACTTATGTTTGAGCTAACAAATTGGTCCTCTACGTTTTTGCTAACTAACAAATTGGTCCTCAAATTGTAGCATGATGTGCCAAGTGGGAAGAAGTGCCAACACATCGGTCATTTATATTTCCTTCCCAATACACATCTAAAAAATCACCCTTTTTCAGAATTCCACCATTCAAACATGTGACAATCAAAATCAACGATCACAAATATCCTAAAAGTTGGTTGTTAATGAACCAAGCGGCACATGAACAACTCGATGTTCGATTCCAGAAAAGTTTGTTAAATATTCGATTTATTTATAATTGAATCGACTCACGAACAAGCTCGTCAATTAACTAGCATGGCTTGACATTGTCATATTCAGGTCGTTAATCTCGGGAACAAGCTCGAAAGACATTAGAATGTGATTTTGAGCCGAGTTCGAGCTCGAGGTTGAAGTACAAACATTTAATATGTTTAACTCGATTTCTGCTTGTTAAATTCATTTCGAGAGCCAAAAATCGAACTTCTATTTTTTTGTAAACGAGTCAAACTCGAACTTGCCAAGTAAAACTAGCGTCGAATTCAAACCGAACCCGAAGTTGGAATTATTTTAACGAACTGAACACGAACCACGACAAAGTTCAGCTCAACTCAAATCATTAACCGTCCTACCTTAAAGGAACAGAAATTTCTGGTGAGCTTATTCGAGCTGCAGCACCAGCTAGAAGAGCAACCTGCAAATAGGCTTTAAATTGCAGATAAGTCCACTGTAATGAATCTCAACTCCTATCATACAGTAGCCAATTACAGCCATTTATTTTCCGGAGCCCAACACTGAACAAGATTCGATGAATCAACGATTCACAATGACAAAATGTGATCAACCAAGCTTTGAACATCTTCATACGACGAACCCCCTGGTTTCAGGCAGAGTTCCATCTTCTCCTTCAGAGCCCCAGCCCTTTCCCTAATTTCCCGACCCTCTTCCTCCACCATTAATGCCTTTACAACCTTCTCAATATCCCCTCTCTCCATCTTCCACTCCAAATGAATCCCTATCCTCCAAACATCGCTGATGTACCTCGCATTCACAAATTGGTCACCAAAGCTCGGCGCACAAATCATGGGGACGCCCTGAGACATGCTCTCTAGGGTCGAGTTCCATCCGCAGTGAGTCCAGAATCCTCCCGTCGACGGGTGCGCCAGAACCTCTTCCTGCGGAGCCCATCTGACGATATGGCCTTTCCCGGCCACCGCCTGATGAAACCCATCTGGTAAAACCTCGATCCACTCTGAATTCTCGACTGAGTTTGGTCGCACCACCCACAGGAATGGTTGCTGGCTGTTGGCGAGTCCCCAAGCGATCTCGAGCAACTCGGCCTCGGTTATGGTCGCGACGCTGCCGAAGCTGACGTAGAGTACTGATTTGGGTGCTTGATTGTTCAGCCAGGAGATGGAGGTTGGGTCCTGCGCAAGCAGGCTGCTTTTTGAGGTGCACGGGAAGTGTTTGTAGAAAGGCCCCAGAGAAAAGTTGGGAACTTTGAATAGCTCGGAGCTCTTCATTAGGTCGGAATGTTCCAGGTCTCGGCAGGTGTTCCAGATGAGCCCTGAAGAGGCTTTGATTGAACTCATCATGCTATCTACCAGGTAAAACAGGTCTTCTTGGTTCTGCGTCTTCACTTGTGGGAGATCCTTAGCTTTCAGAGGCGGGAACTCGGGGATTTCTTCTTCTGCCTTGGAGTCTATAAAGCAAACAACCCAGAAAAGCAATTGAATTCATTTGCAACTTCGGATGATTGACTGAAATTTGTACTCAAATTCAGAAATTGGGTAGAAGTCGTAGCTTGTTACCTTCAACAGGGAAGTAACCTTTCTGGTGGAACAACCGAAGGGGTTCGTAAACAAGGAAAGAGCAGACATTGGTTGTTCTAAGCACAATCCTGGGGAGATGGTGGCTGTCAGCAACCGCCTGAGTGAAGTGCCAATCAGCATCAGTAATAAGGCAAGCAACAGGCTCTTCCTCCTCCGAGCTTTCAGTTATCAACTTGACCAAGGCTTCACAGAATGGCGCGGCGCAAGTGATGTTGGTGGAGGTGAGAAGAGCTATGACATCTCCTATCTGCCAGGCAAGCTTATTGGCTTGCTCCTCGGATAAGCCAAGGCGGATGGAGTGGAAGGTGAAGTCAGGGTAGTTGGTTGAATTGGGAGAGTTGAAGTCGGTGTGTATTACGGTAATGGAGAAGCCTCTGGAGTAGAGGATGTTGGCAAGTTGAAGCATGGGATTGATGTGGCCCTGGAATGGCAATGGAAAGAGCAAGACCCGGCGGCCTTTCTTCAGCTTCATGTGAGACTCTCGCAGGTTCAGATTCTCCATGGTTGATGCTGCTGCTGCTGCTGACTTCTTTCTCAGTCTTCAGCGCCCTTTGTATGGCAGTGGAAGCGGTAGGTATGATATGGGAAAAGCCAATTTGATTACGGAAAAGAGTTTGTTTCAAAGAAATGTCTTTGTTGATTAATCCATGCTGGCTACTATCTGCTGCCACAGTGTCACTAATTGCCATTGGATTGCTCACATAGCAGAGGACAAGACAAAGGTGGAGATTTGGCAGAATACGGCTGTGATGTATTTGAGAACTCCCACGTCTTTCAAGTTAGTTAGATCCATTGACAAAAATGATAAACAAATTCAGCTGATACTATTGCAATTTGCCTTCTTCCTTGTTTGAGCAGAGGAACATGTTCTGATAATGGTTGTTTAAGGAGCAGCAGCAGCTGGTTCTGAGGCTGCCAGCCTGTTGATTGCTCCTAGTTATGTGTCCTATACTGCTCCACTCGTTCCCTTGTGTCGGGTGGGGATAGGTGATTTCAGTGAGAGGGAAAAACAACAAAACATGAAGTCGCTAGTTTTGGCTTTCCATTGCTTTCCGTTGCTTGTGTTCTGTTGTGATTTCTCTTTGTTATTTGGCCTTATTCACCTGTTCTGTCGTTGTTCTGAATGGTCATTTCGTGTACATATGTCCCTTCCCCTGTTTTTTGTTTTTGGTTCCATTGGTGCTCTATTCACCTCTAATAAGTTCCGTAGCCATCAAATTGGGGTAAATGAAAATACGTATTGGATATTGTTTTATACTTTAAATTGGGGTTGAAAGTTACAAATTAGTCGATGAAGAAAGTTTATTCAGCTCTATGATCACCAAGAAAGATTAAGGCATTTTTACCAAAAAAAAAAAAAAAAAGATTAAGGCATCCAGTGCTCGGTTTCTAACCAAGGGTTATTAAACCGTTTTTTTTTTTTTTTACAAATCATATCAACTTTTATTCCACCATAACAACTTTCACGCTAAAGCTATTACAATTCTAGAGGAGAACAGAAATTAGATCAAGAATATTAATCCAGTCTTCTGGCAGATTAGATTTAGCTTTTGATCGTGCAACCCAATCAGCTCTGACGTTCAAAGCCCTCGGAACCTCTTCCACCGAAATAGCTGGGTTATTCCTCAGGATATTGACCATTGTTCTAATCCAGGCTGCGCATCTCCAAGGCCATCGAGACTGATTATGATTCAGGGCCCTCACCAGCATTTGACAGCCAGATTGAACTGTACACACCGATCCATATTCTTGTGCTAATTTTATTCCTTCCAAAAGTGCCTTAGCTTCCGCTTCCATTGGGGTGGAACAAAGAAGATTATCAGCTCTCCCATCGCACACTTGTCCATGGTGGTTAACAACAACAACACCATATGCCGCCGACTGGGGGTCGCTAAAGAACGACCCATCACATTGAATCACAATCGAGTGACTACTTGGCGGTGGATTCGTAGAAGGATGGGATCCCCTGAGCTGAGTGGGTCCATCAGAACCTTGAGGTGGGGGCCTCGGGCAAGCAATCCATTCCGTAAGCTCTCTATAGGTTTGCAGACAAACGTTTGGGGGCCAGGGTATTCGATTCTTGAACGTGCACTCATTCCTTGCCTTCCAGATGTTCCAACAAAGGTAGATAATCTGAATTAGGGAGTTTTGGGGGATGATATATTGGAGAGAGCAAAACCAATCAAAGAAAGAGGTGCCCTGAGGAGGGATCGGAAGGGATGGGAAAGTGCTAGTCCAAGCATCACTGGCATGAGGGCAGTAAAAGAGGCAGTGGTTTAGGGATTCAATCGGGTTATGACACACAGGGCAGTAAAAGAGGCAGTGGAAAGTTATTAAACCGTTAGGTATCTTCAATCGAACAACAAAAATCTTCTACTACCATCCAAACTAGCTTGTTGTCTGACCCGTTGATCGGAATGTCATTTGAACACAATGTATTTATGATGTGTATTTAAATTTTTTAAATTAATTGAAATATTGAATTTCATATGACATTAAGGTGACATCGAAATTATTTTTCCATTTCCGAAATTCTTATAACTTTTCATCAATGGTGAACATTGTAATCTTAATGGCTATAACCAAAGTTGTCAAATCGGTTTAAATCGTTGAGCCGATCAAGCAAGTGGTTTGAAGTTTAATGGTTTGATTGAGGTCCAACCTGTTTGAGCCGTTTTACACCTTTTATAAATATCTCTCTCTCTAAGTATATTTATAGCCCAATGTTTTTTTTTCTTTCCCTCCATTTCAAATTTCATGCAACGAGAGTGAAAGTAGGAAGAACATTTTGGTCTTCACAATTACTTATTTCCTTCTTATTTATTCACATACTAGGATTTGAACCGTGGTCACTCTTAAGAAAAGCAAGGAGTATGACCAATCACACTAAGTATACTTGTTGTACATTTTTAAATTAAAAACATACACGAACCTAAAATCTGAAAACCATATGATTTTTTTTCTTATAATTCATCTGCATTCCAAGTTTAAAGTTCAGTGACTACATTGCAATCTTTCAGAAGTAAAGGGACTAAAATGACAGGTGGCCGAGAGAACCAAGTTTTAGTCTCATCTATCCTGCATCTCAATCGTGCCATCTCGTGAGCACAGACATTTCCTTCTCTCCTCCAAAACCTCCAATTG